ATCCCTTAATTTGGGGTGATGACGCTGACTATTTTAACCCATCTCGATGGCTTGATCCAGAAATAAAATCAAGAGTAGCAAGTAGTAATTTCTTACCTTTTGGCGCTGGTCCAAAAAGTTGTTTAGGAATGAAGATGGCACATTTAAATCTATTTTATCGGTGCTTATTAAAAATTTTGAGTTTAAATTAGTTGAAGGTTTTACCTTTAAAAAGAAACTTACTGGTTATCTAAACCTGTTCCCGGACTTGATTTATTGGTTTCAAAACTGGATTATTAATTCTTTTTTTAAAATAATATAGTTTAATTTTATTGACTTAAAAATCATATCAAATCTATTAAGAATTTTAACTTTTAAAGCCAGTTTATCAATTTAATAAAATTTTTGAAGTGTTTAAATATGTATCTATAATCATTAAAGTGAGCAATAAATAACTATTTGAAAATAGCATTTATATAAAATTTAATCTTTTAATGATATACTGATCTCGATAATACAATTTCGTGTATCGTTATGGCATTAAAAGTCATAATTATTTACTATTATTTGGCCATTATAAAATTTTTAAATGAAGTACCATATTTTAATAAGTAATTCCGAGCTTCTTGCACATAGCAATAGCATTGTATTGATCTTTCTTAGGTGCCATTTTTAAGTACTTGGAACTAATTTCCTGATCTTTAACTACACCTTTTCCAATCCAATAAGCACTTCCAACATTATACATAGTCGTAGGATTTCCATTATCAGCAGCTTTTATTAGATATTTCATGGCCTCATCCCAATCGACAGGTACACCATCGCCTTGCCATAAACAGAAACCATATCGGAGTTGAGCCTCAACTTTACCACAATCAACGGTTTCTTTGAACAATTTTGCCACACGCTGAAGATTTTCTTGTCGATTATCCTTATGCTCAGGAAGGACAGAGTAATATAACTGCTTGTTCCACTGTAATGAAACTATCATCAATTATATAATCTTCTTCAAATTCACCGATAGATGATTGAAACCTTTTTATGGTGATAATCCAAAAGAACTGTAAATATTTTAGAAATTGTTGGTCAAAATCTGGATTATGACTTAAAGCTTTAAATAAATAAATATATTAGTATGCTTGAATATTTATGGTTTTAAAAATTAAATTTTAAAATAATAAGTGATACCTGCATATGTAATGTCCTGTCAATCCTTGGGCATCTGAATAAAATGGTTTGCAATATTTCTCTTTTACAACACAGTTTTGAATAGTTTGCAAATTTATTCCTTCCCTCGTATAAGATATCACTTCTTCAGCAATTTCCCATAGAAAAGTTCCCAAACTAAATAATAGAAAAAATTTTGTGGGACAGCTAGGGGCTTTCTCAAACGATGTAACCCGATTATCTTAATAGTACTGTAATATATTGAATATGGAGATCGTTTAAAGCCGTGTGCGTTAGAATTATTTTTTTGATGCAGTTTGGGTTACTTTTTGATACGGTTAGGGTTGGTAGTTTGTATAGTATCAAGAATATAATTTATGCAGTATAAAGATCAATATATTAAACGCACACAGTTTAAACGACGCCATTAATATATAATTTATCGAACTACATCAAAGACGTTAGATGTGATCATCGGTTGCGTAATCACGACATTTGCCATTACTAATCCACTTGCAATTCCATCATTGTCTGGTGATCAAAGATAGATTTAGAAATAATCACCAAATTATTTTTCGCTAAAACGGTAAAACCCCGCAGTTTTTTATTGTAAAAAATTTGATGAAAAAAAAATAAATTATTAAATGTCAAGAAAACAGGTTAATAAACCCAAAGAAAACTTTTTAAAAAGGTTCTAAAATTTTTTATGTTGTGTTCCTGCTTCTAATATGTTGAAGAAACGATCGTTCGATTGTATAAATCAATAATG